CTACCTACCTACCTACCTACCTACCTACCTACCTACCTACCTACCTACCTACCTACCTACCTACCTACCTACCTACCTACCTACCTACCTACCTACCTACCTACCTACCTACCTACCTACCTACCTACCTACCTACCTACCTACCTACCTACCTACCTACCTACCTACCTACCTACCTACCTACCTACCTACCTACCTACCTACCTACCTACCTACCTACCTACCTACCTACCTACCTACCTACCTACCTACCTACCTACCTACCTACCTACCTACCTACCTACCTACCTACCTACCTACCTACCTACCTACCTACCTACCTACCTACCTACCTACCTATCTATCTATCTATCTATATATATATATATATATATATATATATATATATATATATATATATATATATATATATATATATATATATATATTTATATACATGTGTGTGTATAATATATATATATATATATATATATATATATATATATATATATATATATATATATATATATATATATATATATATATATATATATATATATATATATATATATATGTATATATATATATATATATATACAATGTATATATAGATAGATAGATATATTATATGTGTGTGCGTGCGTATATACATATGTATGTATTTATATTTATATATATATATATATATATATATATATATATATATATATATATATATATATATATATATATATATATATGTATATATATATGTATATGTATATATATATGTATATATATATATATATATATGTATATATATATATATGTATATATATATATATATATATATATGTATATATATATATATATATATATATATATATATATATATATATATAAGCGGAGGGGGGAGGGGGGTGCCAAATTGAAAGTTCGCGCTGGGCGCCAGGAAAGTCGCTACGCCTCTGGTTGGTGTCTCTCCCCCCCCCCCCCCCCCAGTAAAAGAAAGCTTTAGCGTGTTCACATTTACGTGATGTTTATCAATCGTCGGTTGTTAATACAGCTATGTGTAGCATTGTTTTCTCTATAGTTTGTATCTTCACCTAATGGTGTGGTTGTCGTCGATCCTCCTCCTCCCCCCCCCCCCCTGCCCGTTGACGTCGATTTTGAACTAGCACAAATATTTATTCTATATATCTTGCAATTTTTTTTGTCTTGATGTCACCCCCGTAAATGATTTCACCCGGTGCAGTGCTTCGCGACGCCTCTGATATACCACACTGTATAATACACACACATACACACACCAATTTTAAAACGATTAGCCCTAACCGACAGCGGAATAACTGTAAAACTGAACAGTTAGCACTTCATTGTGTTGACAATAGGTTTGAAAAGTCTTTGTAATCTTACTAATTTTTTTAAAAATATTTAAAACATATAGCAAGCGATACAATTATGTTTACATTTTTAAAAATTAAAGCCGTTTGGGAACCATTGATTAAACTCATTGTAATATTTTTGTATTGAATATAAGCCGTTGAAAATAATTTTAGAATTCAATTTAAATATTTTCAAAAACCACCCTCAACCCCTCCTTGAACCAGAGTGACCAGGGAAAGTAATACGATGAGAGTCACAACAATTTTTTTCCAAGATAAAATATAATATACTGAAATAATCTTTTAATTACAGGGAGCATTAGCTCAATCATTTTCCAAGATTTCAACGATGGAATTGAAGGGCGTGAAGTTGCTGCACCCACTGGCATTACTCGACAGGCGGCAGCCCTTTTGGCAGCTTTTTTCATAGCTTTAACTATTCTTTTGTTCTTAGTCTTTCTTTTGCTATGTTGCTTATACCCACACGGAATATGCTACAGTCGTAAAGCACTGTGTTGCACAAAGAAGACTTCGGCAAAGAAAAGGTAAGAATTGTTGTTGGAAATTCAAGCGTTACTCTACACACTTGCTAGATTGCAATGAACTCACACGAAAATGCGACTTTCCTTATCTACACCAGCCCATATCAACACCTGTATTAACTTTTTATTCGTACAACCAAGCAATACGTTGATACATCTTCGGCTTCAATAACAAATTATATGCAACCTTTTGTCTACGTTTAGACGAGAACTCGTCATTTGAGTTTTTATGTTATATTTCAGACCCCATATTTCTAGCAAAACAAACGCATCAGAAGTCAACCTTACAGCCCTGTAAGTAGACCTAATAATTGATACTTACCTATCAATATTATCTTAGGATTTATCCTACAGCGGGAAGGGTGAAATTTACAGCCTTGTATATATATATTACATTTTACAAACAAACATACAGAATTGAACTTTATATATTAGATATTAGAGGGAGTTAAAAGCTTGTAAAAATAGTGTCTATGTCTCGAGTTGCCATCCCCGCAGTGTTATATAAGAATATTCGAGCAAGATCACTCCCTGTTTATTTTAGACGTTAAGACGTACGCTACTTCTCTGACAGAAGTTTTGAACATTTGTCATCTATCTGTTTTTACCACTTGTATATACCTTACTTAAAAAGACAGTTTGTGTGTTATTATTGTAAAACTATTCGTTATTAAAGATGTCCATTTTATTAATGCGGTGAAAAAATTTAATTTCCTACAGTGATATGAAAATGCCAAGAGCCCATATGGACAGTTTTTCAGAGTAAGCACTAATTTCTATTAGCAAATGGTGAAGGTCATAGGTCAAGATGTGCTTATACCAAAACTAAACTTTAAAACATATGTAAGGTTTTTAAAATATTACCGCTTCATTTCCATTTTATGAATGTCTATAAGCCAGTAAGGTGTTTTAAAAAAACATTCAGTGTTTCAGGTCATCAATTAGCTACTATGAGTTGGACGAATGCAGCCTGTCAAAAAGCAGGTTAGTTACATGTGAGAAAATAAGAAAAACATTGTGATGTCAAACTTTCGTATTTTAAAAAAGTTAGTAAATTGAATGTTGATAGTTATTTTACAATGTCATAATGCTTTAAAGAATTAGACCTAATTAAGAAAATGGATAATTGAATCTAATACTGTCACGGGTAAAATTTTCAGTATAAAATAATGAGGGAAAATTCATATACACACCTATGCGATGCATACACAAGGGACGGACATCCGTCAGAGCGTTGTGCTATTTCTATTAACGTAGCACTATAACACAAGAAACATAAAAGTACATTTAAAACTACTCCCTTACAAATGCAGTTCGTCTTCTTGGACGCCGAAGTTATATTTTCAATATAGATAGGGGGCCCAAAAAATATTTGCAACCTTTTTCTAGTTCCGCCACTTCACTGAGGAGAACCATACTAGATCAGAACAGGGGAAATTACCAGACAGAAAAATCCTAAAGCCTTTAAATAGTATAAAGAAAAACAAGGCACCAGTACAGGACAACATCCTAGCAAGGTGGAAAGAAATAGTAAATCGACTTTATAAATTAATTGGTCTGGAGCACAGCACAGATCCCAGCCGAAACAAAGAGGGACCTCCTAGTGAAGTTGTCAAAAAGCGGGGACAATTCTTAGTTTTGAAAGTGTAGATTTACACCACTGAGTGTTTTACAAGTATTCTTTTTGTTACCTTTTTATTTCCTGGTGGTGCGATATTGGGTGACTCGTCCAACCTTTACCAGTTCTGGGAACAGCGTCAAATGGACATTCGCAGGAAAACTAAAAGTCAGAGAGTTTGCGAACTCTCCCGCCGTCCACTAGATATTTAGGGTACAGTACGATGCTACCTCATAGCTTACACATCTTAAGACCAGCAAAGATCAGAAAAAAGAGATTCGAACCAACAAAAATCAATAGGCCCCAGTAACAACATGAGGCTGTTGTCCCGGCAGGGAAAATACACAGATCAAGCAAAGTTAAATATATTACTTGAGACCCTACTGGCAGGGATCGAGCATAGAAAAATAATGCTTGAGGCCCTATGATTAGTAAATACTAAATAGTAAAGAGGTCTCAGTTATGTAAGGTAAAATTTACTTCAGGCATGGTGTTCATTACGTCATTTTATGTAATGCATAGGCTTCACATTTATTAGGCCCAATGGTCTACAGTTCTGAAACGCAGTTTTTAAAATCTAATTTTTTGCTTTTGGTTAATAGATCTTGACGGCTGGAAAAAGGATACAAACTATTCAGTTGGCTTTCGAGGTCACAACACCGAAAGAATTAGATCTCTAGACTCATTGGACGACTCCTGCATAAGTATTAATTTCCTGATTTGTTGATACCTGTTGTGATAAGCTTGCTAGGATCAAATTGACTTGATTTAAGTAAATTAAATGTTAAATCGGTTTTTTTTCAAGCTTATGTTTATTTTAAGAAAGATCCAGCTTCCTTATGTCTGTCTGTCTGTCTGTCTGTCCGTCCGTCCGTCCGTCCGTCCGTACGTACGTACGTATGTATGTATGTATGTACGTACGTACGTACGTTTTTTATGAATGTATGTATGTACGTACGTACGTATGTATGTATGTATGTATGTATGTATGTATGTATGTATGTATGTATGTATGTATGTATGTATGTATGTATGTATGTATGTATGTATGTATGTATTTATGTATTTATGTATTTATGTATTTATGTATTTATGTATTTATGTATTTATGTATGTATGTAAGGGATAATGGGGACACGTGATATTATCGGGGGAGGGGAGGGGCGAAGAGATGCCTGGAAGAAACTCTGTACCCAGCAACAGATGCGATGTGGATGAAGTTGCTCTCATACCTCATGTTCTAGTTACTATAGTGCCGTGATGTTCCAGTATCACCATCAATCCCCTCCCACTGAAGATTACGAGTTAGCAGATGTGATAGTGGCACGAAAATGTGCAGCAGAAAATATCGGAAAAAAATCTTATATCATTATGTTTTGGAAATCGATAAAACCGAGTAAAATTCTGCGTACCTTTTCTGCTAAAAAATGTAAAAAAAAAGAACAAAAAACAAATAATAACGAGTTTACAAATACTCGATTTATTTTTTTAAAACGCGCTGAGGCCACGGGACTTTGTCCAGCTTTGTTACATGGTTGTTACGCCACTGGCAATGTCTAACGTTTAATTCTAAAGAATAGATATCTAACATGAACCTAGAAACTCTAACATTTTGTTTCATTTTATTTTTAAGTAAACCCACAACAATGGCGCAGTGGTAGTAGTACAGCCTCGAGACTACACAGTAGAAGCTACAATGGCATTTTGGACTCTTTGAATACTCAGAAAGGAAACAATTCTTCACAAGAAATGAGTGCTAGGTTTGGGAATTCTCATAAAGATAAAGCCGTTGAAATGAACGAGAATGGATTTGGTGATGCCAGTACATTTCAAAAAGATTACTCGAATCTTTTGTCATACAACAGTCAAGATTTGAGTATGTTATACTTTTTACGTTTTACACAAGAAAGCAAAAGACTCCATCTCTATCTTTACATTAGTAAACCATTAGTAAACCATAGACCCTAGTCTCTATCTTTACATTAGTAAACCATAGACCCTAATCTCTAGCTTTACATTAGTAAACCCTAGACCCTAATCAGTGGCGTAGCGAGGTCGGGTGTCACCCGGTGCGGCACTTAATGGTGTCACCCCCCCCCCCCCCCCAAGGCGTAGCGACAAATTTTCGATTTGCACCCACCCCCCCTCAAGTTTTCGATTTGCACCCCCTTCCTCAAACTTTCGATTTGTACCCCCCTCAAGTTTTTCTCTATATATTTTGCTATTTTTTGCCTTGGTGTCACCCCCCTAAATGGTGTCACCCGGTGCGATCCGCACCCCCCTCCCCTCGCTACGCCTCTGACCCTAATATCTAGCTTTATATTAGTAAATCATAGACCCTAATGTCTATCTGTACAGTAATAAACCCTAGACCCTAATCTCTATTTTATTCTTTACGTTATTAAACCATAGACACTAATATCTAGCTTTACATTAGTAAACCCTATACCCTAATGTCTATCTTTACATTAGTAAACCCTAGACCCTAATATCTCATTAGACTCAATTATATGCACTACTAGCCGTCCCGGCCAGGCCCTGCACTGGCATCTCTGAAAAAAGTATCTGTAAAGGACCATAACTTGTGCGTTTAGTAATCAGCATTTATCCGGCGTTGCCCACCCTAACCACAACCAACCAAAACACACAAAAAACGCAAACATAACACTAACACAAAACAAACACAAACGAAAACACAAAAACAAACGCAAAGACAAACCCAACCACAAACACAAAGAAAACACAAACACTAACGCAAACAAAAAAGCAAACGCAAACACAAACACAACCACAAACACAAAGAAAACACAAACGCAAAGGAAAAAAAGCAAACGAAAACACAAACGCAAAAAAAGCAAACGAAAACAAACCCAAATCCAAACGCAAACACAACCACAAACGCAAACCCAAACTCAAATACAAAGAAAACACAAACGCAAAGATAAACTCAAAGTGTCCACAGTCTAGACCGGGGCGCCAAATCGCACCATGACGACGTGCGGCGTAACCGCCTGATTCAACTTAGTAAACGACTATAATACCCAACTTATTCTTAGTCTTTTGAACTCACTTACGCGAACGTAGGTACCATAGCGAACACGGGAAGGCCCGGGGCACCAAAGAGCACCCTGTCGCGGTGCCGGAGGACGCCCGGATTTGATTAACTTAAAGACTATAGTAAGCTTTCTTATCCATAGTCTATCGCACGGCTTAAAACAAAATTATGCAGCATAGCGCTCACATGATAGCCCAGGGCGCCAAATCGAACCGTGCAGGGGCGCCGGCGGACGCGCCTGTTTCAATTTAGTGAACAAAATTATAATACTTCA